GGGAGAGAGAGAAACATCAATGATGAGAGAGAATCATTGATCTTGACCAGCTGCCTCCTCGACGCCCCCTACTGGGGATCGAGCCTGCAACCAGGGCATATGCCCTTGACCACAATCAAACCCGGAACCCTTCAGTTCTCAGGCCAATGCTTTATCCACTGAGCCAAACCAGCTAGGGCTAATTTCTCCTTTCTTAATGACTGAAGGGCCACACACACACCATGACCTCACTGACAAAGCCGCAGAGGGACCGGTGAATTCTGGAGATTTCTGGATCCTCTGAGCCAGAAGAAAAGCACTGGAGAACAGCCAGTACCAGGGATGGCAAATACACTCTATTCTCCTGCCAACTCCTGTTGGTAATGGACGTCTGGGGCCAGTGTGCTGAAAAGGACTCGGGGTACTCACCGGGAAAGTGTGCCGTGATAGATTAGTAAGGCCTGCCACGCGCACTGGAAAAGGGAGTTGTGGATGACACAGACATGTCATCCCTGACCTGACCAAATCTCTCCACTTCTCAGACTAGAAACAGTGTCTCCGAGGCCCTTTCTAGAATCACATGGCAAGTCAGTGGCAGAATTTAGACCAGTGATGGCGAACCTTTTGAGCTCGGCGTGTCAGCATTTTGAAAAACCCTAACTTAACTCTGGTGCCGTGTCACATATAGAAATTTTTTGATATTTGCAACCATAGTAAAACAAAGACTTATATTTTTGATATTCATTTTATATATTTAAATGCCATTTAACAGAGAAAAATCAACCAAAAAAATGAGTTCGCGTGTCACCTCTGACACGCGTGTCATAGGTTTGCCACCACTGATTCAGACCCAGATCTCTCTTCTTCCTGTGGCCCCTTTCATAGCCCCCCGAACCTCACCCCCAGTCCCCTCGCCAAGCTACCTGTTTCACCCGCTCCAGGTCTGACTCATCGCCGGAGCTGGGTGTAGCGGGGTGGGCCTCGGAAGTGGTCACTGAAGACGAGGACTTCATCCTGGGAGAGATGGTGGGGTTTGGGACAGACATGAGGTTAGAGAGGGCCTGCCTCCCATTCCACGAGCATGTTACCCCCTACAGATTCAGCAAATCCACCTACTTGGGGCAGGTGGGGCCCCAGTACTGACGACCCACCTTGGCAAGGTTGTGCTGTTCTTCTCCCAGGGTCTCCGCACAGGTTCTGGGGGACAGGCAACAAATCAGAAAGATGAGGGACGAGGAATGCCCCCCCTCAATCCTTCTCCCACAGCCTCATCAGCCCCTGTGCAAAGAACCATCTCAGGAGACTACAGTCCCCAGTATTGTTTGCACAGACTCTCTCAAGAATGTGCTTTATGTGTGAGGACAAAGCATCCTGGGATTTGTAGTTCCTGTGGCTAGACTGGGCTATCACTCACCGCTTTGGGCTGGGACTCTGGCTTCTGGCTCCTCCTGCTGGTGGGAAATAAAACTGTCATGAGCCAGTCCCTGCCACACCTCTGTGCATTTTCCTCTTCCAGGTTCTGTCCAGCCCAGCCTTGTCACACCGCCTCCCCAATATCCCTACCCCAACGGGACAGCCTAAGGTGTGTGTGGCAGGAAGAGCCCCTAACTCACATTGGCAGATTCATCCTTGGGGGGTTTCTCCCCAACTAGTGTGGCTTTCCTTCTGCAGGAGGGAAAGGCAAAAACAGATGGCTCCAGCCCTCCCTCAGCCACTCAACAAGCCCCCTTCCCAGAGCTCAGAAAGGCGGATTCTAGGGTACAGAGTTGTGGAACTTGTGAACGCGAAGAAAACTTTAATTTTAGAAGTTACAGAGAGCGCTGTTCTCGAGGTAGGATGGGGATTTTGCGTTTTTCACATTTGGGAATCACAAAGTTCTAAGGGCAGAGGGCTCTGGAATTCTAGGAACCCAACTTTTCAGGTTCCCAGGCAGGAATGTCTAAGGTCCTAAAATTTGCAGCGGTTCTCAACCTGTGGGTCGCGACCCCTTTGGCAGTCGAACGACCCTTTCACAGGGGTCGCCTCAGACCATCCTGCATATCAGATATTTACATGATGATTCATAACAGTAGCAACATTACAGTGATGAAGTAGCAATGAAAATAATTTTATGGTTGGGTCACAACATGAGGAACTGCATTTAAAGGGCCAGAAGGTTGAGAACCACTGAATCTAGAGCCTACCAGGTGGTTGCAAACTCAGCCCTCTCAGGAGAATGCAATTGCAGCATTATATCCCAAACCTGACTGTCAAAGAGGGAACTTTCATCCAAAGAAACAACAACAAAAAACACAACGGGAATCAGCCAGCCCCACACCTGGCCCTGCTGGCCCAGGTGATAACCGCTGGTCTGAGGGTTTGTTCCCAGAGCCCTCCCAGGGGCACGGAGGGCTCCAGGGTCGGAGGGCTCCAGGCTCGGGCTCACCTCCGGGCCAGCATGGCGTTCATCTCCTCCATGAGCCCGCCCCCTGTGCTTCGACTGCTCTCAGCTTTGGGGGCTGCAGGCCCCCCTGAGGCCTCCTCCTGCTGGAGAAATTACAAAGAGGGGGGCTTTATGCGCAGGCCTCCTGATGTCCCCAGGCAACTCTGGCCTCATTCCCCACTATTCCCTCAGGGCCCCCGTCTCCCCACACCCTGCCATGTCTGGCCCCCTCACCTTGCTGACTTTCCTGAGTTTGGCTCCGGCAATGGCTGCAGCCAGGCCGGGGGCCCCAGTTCCTCCACCACTGGGGCCAGCTGCTGTGGGCAGAGGCGGTGGAGGGGGTGGGCCTCCCCCTGCTCCATGCCCTACAGCGGAGACCCCCGAGGGGGGCAGACCAGAGGGTGGGGGGGGCCCCGGAGGCGGGGGAGGTCCTGGAGGTGGAGGCGGTCCCCCAGCTGGGGGAGCAGGTGGGGCTCCTGAAACAAACAAACAAAGGAGGGGTGCTGAGAGAGAGACCTCGTTCCTTATCCAGCTGGCCCACCCCCTCCTCTGGGGAGCCCCCCACTCCCTCCAGGGACCATGTGAACAATCACCTGCATTGGAGACCCGGCGCTCCAGGTGCTCTGGCTGCCTGAGGAGGGGAGGAGGGGTGAAGGAGCTGCCGTCACTCAGGACCCTGAGAATGGCCCCCACCCCTGGCCGCTCCGAGGTCTCCAGTGAGACGGGCTCCTAACCCCCACCCGCTTCCTTCCCCAGGGGCCCAGGAAAGCGGGGCAGCAGGGACAGGGTGAGACCAAGATGCAAGCACTCTAGTCACCAGACCGTCAACAGCTGAATTAGAAAATGCGCGAGATGCTTTAAAGAACCAAGTGTTAGACTCTCCGAAGGGTGAGGGGTTTTTAAAACAGCAGGAGGCAGGAGCTCCTGAAAGCTGAGGTCTAGCCCCTGGGAGTTGCAGTTGGAGAAGTTGGGGAGCTGAGAATTCTAGGAGCCAGGGGCGTGGCAGCGGTAGGATTCCCACCGGGACCGGACCCACCTTTTCTGAAACTCCGCCTCCTCGGGGGCGGGGCCGTTCTGGACCGACCAGGCGGGCGGTGCCGCCTGTGGCTGCGGTGGTGGTGGTGGCGGCGGGGCTGGCGGCCCACCTCCTGGAAAGCGAGAGTAGAACCCGGTGATGAGTCAGCCCGGAACCGGGCCCCGCCTCGGGGCACTTTCCCTCCGCTCTCCCGGGCCCGGCAGGAACCCTGCCCAGCGGTGCTCACTTCCTGACCCTCCGGCTGGTGTGGGCACCTGGGCAGGCTTCCCTTGACTGAGCTGATATGTGGTGGGGGCTGTGGTGATGCCCAAGCGACTGGTGGGGACAATGACGGCCCAAAGGGGGCAGTCACTTGCAGACTGGAATTTGCAGAAACAAGACAAAATCATCCAGGATGATTCCCACATCTACTCTTTTTTTTTTAATCCTCACCCGAGGATATTTTTCCATTGATTTTCAGAGAGTGGAAGGGAGCGGGAAGAGGAGAGAGAGACAGATCAATTGGCTGCCTCCTGCACAGCTCCCAGTCCGGGGGCAGAGACTGAACCTGCAACCAGGCACGTGCCCCTGACCAGAGTCGAACCTGCGCCCCTCGGGTGTGCAGGCTGTCGCTCTAACCACTGAAACACCGGCCAGGGCTCCCACATCTACTCTTAACCAGGGGCTCAGCCACAGAGACCCCCAGCCCCAGGACCCTGAAAAGGCTGAAAGCCTGCTCCTTACCACCCCCGGCCTCTGGCGCCCACGGACACAAACTGCCCCCCATAGTTCTCTCTGTGCCCCAGACAAGCAAGCCCTTCCCACTGTCACCGCAGCCGCTCCAGGAAGCAGACAGCCCTGCCCCTTGGTGATCTGAAGCTCTCCAGCAGCGACCTGGACCCAAGGCACAGCGGCACCTAACGCCTCGCTGTCCATGGGCTGCCATCACCGGGCACTTGCTAGACATGCAGAGGCTCAGCCCCACCTCAGCCCAACTGAACTGGAATCTGCCTTTTACCCAGATGTTCAGGTTAAGAGCTACCACCTTGGTCCTGGCCGGTAGCTCAGAGCATCGTCCTGATAAACCAAGGTTCAATTCTCAGTCAGGGCACATACAGGAATCAACCAATCTATATATATAAAAGCCTAAGCGACCATTATCACCGAACAACAGGAACGACCAGTCAACCAGTTGCTATGACATGCACTGACCACCAGGGGGCAGATGCTCAATGCAGGAGCTGCCCCCTGGCCAACCTCCCATGCCCCCTGTCCCCTGCTGGCTAGCCCCCCCATAGGCCTCGGTCGCCAGCCAGGCCGAGGGACCCCACCAGTGCATGAATTCATGCACCAGGCCTCTAGTGAATACATAAATAAGTGGAACAACAAATCAGCATCTCTCTTTCTCTCTCCCCCTGCCCACAGCCTCTCTCAAAAATGAATTTTAAAAAAAGAACTACCACCCGGCCAGTGTGGTTCAGTGGTTGAGCATCAACCTATGAACCAGGACAGCAGTTCTCAACCTGTGGGTCGCAACCCCTTTGGCGGTCGAACGACCCTTTCACAGGGGTCGCCTAAGACCATCCTGTATATCAGATATTTACATTACAATTCATAACAGTAGCAACATTACAGTTATGAAGTAGCAATGAAAATAATTTTATGGTTGGGTCACAACATGAGGAACTGTATTTAAAGGGCCAGAAAATTGAGAACCACTGCAAGGGATCTGCCTGGGACAGAAGGGTTATGAAGTACCACCTCTAAGAACAGGAAGCTGCTGTACCTCACACACACACACACACACACACACACACACACACACACACAAGGAGACACACCCTCTCCTCCACCCATCAAGTTAAAACTCCTCATAATTTCCTTTTGTGCAATAGTTTGGCCACAGATGCAGGTACTGAACGTGTCTAGAGGCATGACACCACTATAAGAGGCTTATCTATCTTTATAGCCAAACTCAGAACTTGTTATGGCATTATAGTTGAACACATCTTTCTAGCAAATGAAGACATTATTGTGCCTCTCACAAATTCAGCTTATTGAAATCAGGAGGAGATATTGCTTTTAAGGTCTGTTATATTCTCGTACTATTATGAAATTCTCTTTAAGAAAATACTAGTTAACTTTGCATCTTTGCAGCACAAGGACCTAAATGCTTGTGTTTTGCAGAAAGCACTACAAATAAAAAAAGTCAGCTCAAAGCTTGGAGAGGGACATAGGAATATATACCATATATATATATATATATATATTCATTTGTTATTATTCCCATCTTATAACTTTTCAAGGTAGCTATGTTAGTTACCTAATATGAACAATTTATATTGTTATTCCCGTAATTATTTCAATAGGCTTTTAATAGCAATTATCACTATATCTCTTTTCTATCAAAGACATTCCTGATTTTAATATTTGGTGAATTGAATTTTAACCTGCCTGGATTTGTTGGAGCTAGAGTGAAGGAGGGGAGAAAGAAAACAACCCTAACATGCCTTTTTGTGTTTTGTTTTTATTGATTTCAGAGAGAGGGATAGAAACATCAATGATGAGAGAGAATTCTTGATTGGCTGCCTCCTGCTCTCCCCCTACTGGGGATAGAGCCCACAACCCCAGGCATGTGCCCTGACTGGGAATGGAACCATGACCTCCTGGTTCATGGATTGACGCTCAACCACTGAGCCACACCAGATGAGCCTGAAATGCCTTTTGGGAGAATGCTGGAGTAAGTTCAACAGGTGAGTGAGACTTAGGTGAGTTCCCTAAGTCTTTCTCCTCCAACAAGAATGAGGGTCAGAGCTGTACCATTTGTGCAGCAGAAAGACATTTATTTATTCTTCTTTTATGTGCCCTACCTGCCCTCCTGCACCCCACAAATTCTAGGCCTGTAAAGATGGGGTTTTCCTCAACAAATATCTCATCTCCTTGATTGGGAGCATCATCTCTGGAATATAAGTCTTTCTTCCTTGTTCCAACTTTGTGATGTTGGCCAAGTTACTCCTTTGGGATCAGTTTACTCAACTGTAAAGTGGGGCAGTACCTCAGAGCTGTTGTAAGAATTCAGTGTCATAAGGCATGTAAAATGCTTAGCGCAGTGCAAAGCACATGGGAAATGCCAATGTGATTTATGTGAGGTGATTTTATATGTACAGACGGGGAGAGGAGAGAGGGAGAGGAAGTCAGACAGACAGACAGACAGAGTGGAAGGGACAAACAGGCCGACATGGAGAGAGAGCTGAGAGGGAGAGTCAGACTGACAATGGGGAGACAGACAAGGGAACGGTGAGGGGAACACATGGAATGGGCAGAGAGGCAGAGAGAGAGAGAGAGAGAGAGAGAGAGAGAGAGAGAGTGAGGGGAACACATGGAACGGGCAGAGAGAGAGAGAGAGAGAGAGAGAGAGAGAGAGAGAGAGAGAGATGGACAGTGAGAGAGATGCAGGTAAGTCCGGAGTGAGAGCTGGAGGAGGGGACCCGGGAGAGGGCAGTGGGGACGGGGCAGGAACTCTGGGTGGGGCCCTGGGAATCAGCCTGGCACTCCTGGAGCCTCAGTTTCCCTCTCTCTTCCAGGGTTCTCCCCCCCCCCCCCCGCACCCCCACTTCTGCGCACACACAAACACACTCCCTGCTTCGGTCAGAGGAGGAAGCTGAGGCCCAGGGAGAGGAAGGGTCCCCTGCAGCAAGTTGGGGACCAATGCTACACCCTAACCTCTTCTTTTTCCTGCTGCCACCCCATCACCCCACAGTGCCCCGGGCCATCAGCAGACACTCCCTGCTCCCCCAGGCCCATGTCTTGGGCAATGACCCAGACAGCCGCGGCCCCACCCTCCAGTGCAGGAGACAGTCCAGTCCCCAGACGGTGACAGCCCAGGGTGACCGGGAGCACCCTCCCTGGCCTGGGCGTCACAGGGGAGTTCTGGAGTAAGTGACATCTGACTCAGCCTTGGGGGGGTGGGGGTGGTAATCAAGAAACTAGTTCAGAGTTCAGGCCCTGATATCCAGAGACCTGGGTTCCAATCCCAAATCCCCTCGAAGCCACCTACTCCATGTGACTCAGCAAGCGACCCTCCCACTTGGGAACTGCAAACTGGGGAAATGACAGCCCCCCACCCCCACCCCCGCGCCCAGGACAGTGGGAGGAGTAATGAGTCTGGACACGTAAGGCCACGTACTCGGCATGGACTGAGCACTTATTAACTGTCAGCATCTCTCACATCACAGGCACCCGGAACATCTCAGGAGCACTGCCCCTCCCCCCCCCTCCTTCTGGGGAGGTTCAGCCTCCCCTCCCCCAAGGAGGAAACTCAGGCTCCCAGACAGGAAGTGACTTGCTCAAGGTCACACATAGACCTGGGGGAAGTGCTAGTCCCTACCCGGCCCCACCCCCACCAAACTTTTTCCTGAAAAGAGGAAGTTGGTGGTCAGAGGTTTCCGGGGAGAGAAATTATACCCCACAAGGGCTCAGTCTCAGCCAGGCCTGGGGGCTGGGTGTGAGGCTCAGGCTGTTCAAGACGAGTCAGGGAAAACCCCTCAGCAGACCCAGCTCTGGGTTCCTAGGCCCGGGGCTGAGCGCCGGACACCCCCAAGTTTACATAAATCGTGGCGTCTCCTTCCTAGGGTGTCCGCTCATCAGACACCCTAAGCCCTCTCCTCGGTCACTCACTTTATTCTCCTTCAAGATGGGCACTATTTCATCCTCAGTACACAAATGGGGAGCCAGTGGAGGCCAGTGAGGCTGCGTGCTTGCTCCCGGTCACAGAGCTAGTCAGCAGCAGAATGAGGATTTGAACCCAGGCCACCTGGCAGCCAAGTCCTCAGCCTCAACCGCCAGGAACTGTGGGGGCCCCAACCCAACCCAAACACCAGGTGCTGTTTCCAGACCGGTGCGGCCTCAGGGGCCATTTCTGGCTCCCACCGCCCCCTGGCAGGGCAGGGCAGGGCGAAGGCCTCGCCCACACCTGCCACCCACCCACAGGGCCGAATCTGGCCGGGAGCCAAGGTTGTGTTTGCTACCCCACCCTGGCTGCACTTTGCTCTCCCAAGCTGCCCTGCCCTGCCCAAGGCTTTGGCCTGGCCCGAGGGCGCCGGCTGAGTGACCCCAGGCCTGTCCCACCCCTCACCAGGCCGCAGTGTCCCCATTACAGCAGAAG